TCTCTTTTTACTTCTTTACACACACACAGACACATTTGTAATTTTGCAATAGACTTACAACTGTAAAAGTTTGTGAACCACATTTTAAAAAAAAATCATGCTTAATAGAGTTACATTAATTTTTATAATTCTGTTAAAATAAAGCTAAAAGTTAAGGTGATTTGTCCATCAAGCTCTCATTGTGTTATACAATTAATTTCATTAAATTAAGTATGTAAGATAACCAGGATTAAAGATTACTAGGGACTGGCATATAATCATTAATAAGTAGCCATTCTGCCAACATATAGCCATTTAACTTTAGGAACAACACTGCAATGTCCAAAAACATCTCATCTGGTAAAAAGAAAGAATTTTAAACTAAAATACCATTAATTTAATAATATTATTATTATGAAATCTTCCCTATCTCTGGACTTTCATTTCAGCACTTTATTTACTTCTTAAATTTTTATCTCATGTACAGCTATACTAAAACTAAAAGTACAACTTTAGATGCAGTACCAAAACATAGAAAGACAAAGAGATGGTCATGAATGCCAAAGATAACAGCACTCAGGAGGCTGAGGCAGGAAGTTTGAGGCTATCCCGAGTCTCTTTCTGTCTCTCTGTCTCTGTCTCTGTCTCTCTCTCCCTTATCTCTGTCTCCTTCTGTTTCTCTCTCTCTCCCTCCCTCCTCCTCTCTCTTTCTCTGTGTCTCTCTGTCTCTCACTCTCTGCCTCCCCCTCTCTCCATATATGTTGGGTGTGCCCCACTCATACAGTATCGTGTATATATGAAAAGCAATTACCATAAAAATGGAATTTGATTATTTAACTTCAGTTCTGTCCCTGAAACAAGCAAGCAACTAGCAGTGTGGCCATGAGATAAATATTTAATATTTCCTAGATCAAGTGGTCAGCATGGTATTTATTCCTCCTAAGTCCCTGATTGTGGGATTCACTGGGAATGACATCAGAGTGTTTTCAGATATGCAGAGTGAGGCAGCCCCCAGCAGTAGTGATGCTGCCATGCACGGGACTCAGATGCTGGAGAAGGGCAGTTGTTGAGTATGAAAGCCACACACATACTCTCTCTCTCATGCCCGCCAGAAGGGCTGTCTAACCAGTCTTGGAAACTACTAGGATGTGACTCAAACAGCCCAGCCCCGGAGATTAGGAGCCTAGTCTCCTTAGTATATTCACACCTTTGTGTGTTTGGTAAAAACACTTTCTGGGTTTATATATTCATTTTCTTGCTTATCAAAGTACATCATTTAGATATATATCATCTAATATTATAGAGGTTCTTTTGTTGGGGGGGGGAGTTCGAGACAGGGTTTCTCTGTGTAGTTTTGGTGCCTGTCCTGGATCTCACTCTGTAGACCAGGCTGGCCTTGAACTCACAGAGATCTGCCTGGCACTGCCTCCCAAGTGCTGGGATTGAAGGTGTGCACCACCACCGCCTGGCCCCTAATATTATAACTTAGTGTCCATAGCTTATATCTATATTTACTATGATAGGTTAGAGTTCCCGATGTGACCATATTGTACTTCTAATTATTTGTTTTCCTCAGTTACTAAAAATCTCAAAGCTAAGTTTCATGATTATAGTATGAAATGGCTCGGACAGATACTCTGGATATACAGTCTGATACTGTTTTCTGTTTCATTTTTTCTACTTGCTTTATGTTAATTTATCTCTGATTCTGAACACTTGTTTGGACATTCATATTTCTGTTGGGTGTTGAGGAGGAAGGGATGATTAAGATATTTTCATGGTTCCAATGAAAATATTCCCTTTGTATTTACTAACTGACTCTTCAATCAAATGAAATGCTTTTGTTTCCATAGTCTTCTATTTTCTCACAACTTTTAAGTAACATATCTAAAGAATGACTGTGTTCATTGTGAAGCTACTGAGAAATGTTGGAGGCTTTCCTAGAGCCATTCTTACAACTGTGTTGTCTGCTAAGATCTTTAGAGTCCATAAGAGATGTCAGAAGAATGTTAAGATATCTGGGTATAATTCCTTGCCTGTAGTTCTGAAATTTAAAAATGTTTGCAGGAGCTGACCCAAGCTCATGGATCTGGAACAATAAACATGCTAGCACAGACCAAGCAAACAGCAACAAAACCCTTGCTGGTAGAGAAGGGGTGATTTGGATGGAAATGTGGGGGGAGAAGGACTGATAGAAATTAACCTAGTTGGGCAGTGGTGGCGCACCCCTTTAATCCCAGCAGGCAGAAGCAAGCAGATCTCTTGAGGCCAGCCAGGTCTACAAAGAGAGTTCTAGGACAGCCAGGCTACACAGAGAAACCCTGTCTCGAAAGAAAGAAAGAAAGAAAGAAAGAAAGAAAGAGAGAGAGAGAGAGAGAGAGAGAGAGGGAGGGAGGGAGGGAGGAAGGGAGGGAGGGAGGGAGGGAGGGAGGGAGGAAGGAAGGAAGGAAGGAAGGAAGGAAGGAAGGAAAGAAGAGAGACAGAGAGAGAGAGAGAGAAAGAAAGAAAGAAAAAGAAAGAAAGAAAGAAAGAAAGAAAGAAAGAAAGAAAGAAAGAAAGAAAGAAAGAGGGCTGGAGAGATAGCTCAGAGGTTAAGAGCACTGGCTGCTCTTCCAGAGGTCCTGAGTTCAATTCCCAGCAACCACATGGTGGCTCACAACCATCTATAATGAGATCTGGTGCCCTCTTCTGGCCTCCAGACATACATGCAGGCAGAACACTATATACATAATAAATAAATAAATTTAAAAAAAAAAAAGAAAGAAAGAAAGAAAGAGAAAGAGAGACAGAGAGAAAGGAAGGAAGGAAGGAAGGAAGGAAGGAAGGAAGGAAGGAAGGAAGGAAGGAAGGAAGGAAGGAAGGAAGAAAGAAAGAAAAAGGAAGGAAGGAAGGAAGAGACAGAGAGAGAGAGAAGGAAAGAACAGGAAAACACTAATGTAAATGATTTACAAATGATTTTGAGTTGGTTTGACTTGAATTCAGAGGTTAAAAGGAAGGAAGATGAAGCAAAATCTAAGGCAGATTCTTAAACCTCACTTGTTTACAATCCCCACAGTTCTAGGAGTGAATAGTAGGCTGTGGTCATCAAGGTCCAGTTCCATGTTTGTGTAAGTACATGGGGATGCATTGCATAAGAAATCTTCTGGTCCAATGAGATAGCTCAGTGAATATAAACACTTGCCCTAAAATCTGATGACCTGAGTTCCATTTCCAGAATCCATGAGATAAAAGATGAAACCAACTTGTGCAAGTTTTCCTGACTTCAACATGCACACATACACACACACACACACACACACACACACACACACACACACACACACGCACACACACAAATAAATAAATAAATAAATAAATAAATAAATAAATAAATGTAAAAAATATTAAAGAAAAATTGTATTCCAACAGAAAACAACGGTTAAATTTGCTCTGCTCTGTGACAGTTTTTTCCTTTTCTTATGATAATTTGTGTGTTTTCCTCCCTAAACATATATCATTTGAATATAAGCTTCTGTTTTTGTCATCCTAAATCTGCAACACAATGAAGAAAGGGGAATAGTTAGGATAGGATAGACAGCGCTCTCTCTCTCTCTCTCTCTCTCTCTCTCTCTCTCTCTCTCTCTCTCTCTGTCTCTCTCTCTCCCCCTCCCTCTCTCTCTCCCTCTCTCCCTGTCCCTGTCCCTGTCCCTGTCCCTCTCTTTCTCTTTCTCTCCCTCTCCCTCCTTCCTCTCTCTCTGCCCATTTCCTTAGGAAATAGCTTTCTCTGAGTCTCTATACCTCAAAAACAATGCTGTTGAGAAATAAGGAACAGGAACAGCTATGGACAACAACAAAAGAAACAAAATGATAGATCATAAGAGGGCTGGAAACAAGGAACTGCTTCCAATCCAAGAGATCCTGGAGCAAGTCTCAGCCCATCCTAGAGAGAGCCCATGCTTGGCTTAAGTACCAGATAAGAAGTGTCACTTACAGGAATGCTTTTTTATAATATTATTCCCAAAGGATGGTGAGTTCTTTACTCTAACCGTTGGGAAAATGTCCAATTTCTGCCTCCTTTTCCATTAACAATAACCGACATTTTCACCTATTTGTTTTTCAGAGTTTTGTTATTGGTAGGATGAGGTGTATCCTTTGGAAGGGAATTATAAAAAAGAGAATGTGTGTTGATTTGGAGCTAAAAGCAGTAGCTTGGAAAGATAACAGCAAATGCCTATGGGAACTTAAACTCTAAATCCCATTTGATGGTTACAAAACATGAAGGTCTTCCTATGATTCTTAACTGAGAAATAAAATAACTCATATTTTGAAAGCTTATATAGTATGTTCACTTACCTAGACAAACACAAGGATGGGATTTAACTATACTTTTGCCAAATTGCCCATCAAGATGGCTGTAAAGTAGGTTGGATTGAAGGAAATGTCCTTCAAATTATTCATTCATCTTTATCCTTTGAGAAGATGGTGAATGTTTATATTGCACTTCTATTTGCTATTAAACTGTGAGTATACTCAACTATTGCTTTATTAAGGTTTTGTGATATTTTTTGATTAAACAAATACAATTGTCTCTACTTTACAGATAAGTGGGGACATGAAATTAGTCTGTCATCATACAAATTATACCTAAAGAATAAGTAATTGAGTCTTCTGCCTTCTTTTTCATGCTATAGATGGGGAAGCTTTGCCCATAGTGAAAGGGTGGTCTGAAGGGACTTCCTTATGCCCAACAGTCATGTAGTGAAAAGGCACAGTGCTTGGACGTGGTAGGTCTGATTTCACTGCTGTGCGATCTTGGACAAGTTATACAATTTGAACTAATTTTTTAAAACTTAGAATACAAATTCCTTAAAGTTAATTGCTGTCCAAGAGTTTTAGTTCATAATTCAAGAGGAAATAAAGACATGAAGGCAGGAAAGCTCTCATTATGATGAATCACTAGAAGCAGGTTATCAGTACAAGTGATCTCAGGGTGGTGCTTGGGACACAGAAGGAACTTACTTTACCTATGCCCACAGCCAGCCATGATCATCAAGGTTCTGGAAGTAGACAATCGTACTGCGACAACACATTTTATTCTGCTTGGATTTCTAACACGACCTGCCTTCCAGTTTCTGCTCTTCTCTGTCTTCCTGGTGACCTATCTGCTGACACTGGTAGAGAACCTTCTCATCATCCTGGCCATCCGCAGTGATGGGCAACTGCACAAGCCCATGTACTTCTTTCTAAGTCACCTCTCTTTCCTGGAGATGTGGTATGTCACTGTCATCAGTCCCAAGATGCTGGTAAACTTCCTCAGCAAGGATAAGAGCATCTCCTTCAATGGCTGCATGACACAACTTTACTTCTTTGTAACCTTTGTCTGCACTGAGTACATACTCCTTGCTGTCATGGCCTTTGATCGCTATGTAGCCATTTGCAATCCACTACGCTACCCTGTCATTATGACCAGCCAGCTTTGTGGACTACTGGCTGGGGGGTGCTGGTTCTGTGGGCTCATGACAGCCATGATTAAGATGGTCTTCATAGCTCGGTTGCGCTACTGTGGCACACCACATATCAATCACTACTTCTGTGATATCTCTCCACTCCTCATGTCTCCTGTGAGGACTCCTCCCAGGCTGAACTGGTAGACTTCTTCTTAGCCCTCATGGTCATTGCTGTGCCTCTTGGTGTGGTAGTGACATCTTATGTCACCATCCTCATCGCCATTCTCAAGATCCCATCAGCTCAGGGGCGTCAAAAGGCTTTCTCCACCTGTGCCTCTCACCTGACAGTTGTAACGCTTTTTTACTCCACAACCCTTTTTACGTATGCCCGTCCTAAGCTCATGTATGCCTACAACTCAAACAAAGTGGTGTCTGTCCTCTACACTGTCATCGTTCCCCTTCTCAATCCCATCATCTACTGTTTGAGGAACCGTGATGTAAAAATGGCCCTAAAAAAGACGATACTTTGCAATAGAAGTGGACCTGGGGGAGATGGGGATTTCAGTAGTTAAAAATAAATAAATAAATAAAAACAGAATTACACTGGAGAGATGGCTCAGCAGTTAAGGTCACTGGGTGCTCTTCCAGAGGACCTGAGTTCAATTCCCCACACCCATATGGCAGCTCATAGTCATCTGTCACTTACACTCTGCTTCCAGGGGGTGTAATGCCCTCTTCTGGCCTCTACTGGCAACAGGCATGCACATGGTGCCCGGACATACACAAACCAGCCATACACATAAAATAAAAATAAAATGTAAAACAAATTAAAGCTTACGGAATTCTTTCTGGAATAAGTAGGTAGATGACCACCATATAGTTCCTCAGTTTATTCATCAACTACATGGTATTGTTAAGACTTTCTGAAATTATAGATATATAAGTTCAATGTAACAAAGCAGAATATATTTGCTATGTATACAATAATTTATTAAAAATCCTTTCAAATAAATTTGTGTGTGAGGGTGGTATGACCATGCGTGTTTGTGTGTGGGTGGTGTATGCACAAGGGCATTCATTTGTGGAGACCAGAAGCCAACATCAAATAGCTTCCACTACCACTATCCACCTGATTTTTTGTTTTTGAGACACTGTCTGTCACTGAACTTGGAGGTCCAGGATTGGTCAGACTTACTGATCAGAACCTCTGGATCCTCCTGTCTCCGCCCCCCAATCCAGAGCTGGGATTGTAGACACGTGCCACCATACCTGGCTTTTTACAGGGGTGCTAGGGATCTGAACTCTGGTCTTCATGCTTGGGTGGCGAGCACTTTACTCACCGAGCCATCTCCCCAGGCCTCTCAAGTAAATTTTAAAGACCGAGCCTTTAGTGGAAAAACAAACGAAGAATGTAAATATAATAAATAAAAATTATATAGAGAGATAGCGGTTATGGATTGAATCGTGCCCTACAAAAGAAGATATACTGAAGTTCTAATCTTTGATACCTCAGAATGTGACTTTCCTTGGAAACTGGATTTGTATAATGAGCAAATGCAAATTCAAATTTACATTATGATACCTAAGAGTCAGCAAATAATAAATGCATATACATAATTTGAAAAGATGGAATTTCCTAAGAATTTTAGTAGGTTTTTTCCTGAAAATATTTTTTAAATAGTCATTTGTCCAACATGCATGTTTTTACTAGTAAAAACTACATCTATTAATAAATGATCAAGCTAGACTTCCATGTAGATTAATAGACTCATCGCAGTTCTGAAAACAACAGGATAAAAAAATAAGCAAGTTGTAGGGTTCTTCCTGGGTCCTCTAACTCTACAAAGTGCTTTCCCACCAAACCAGCTATTTCTGTATTGAAAAGAGGCAAACCCCCGAAGAGGCTGGGTCTCAAAACACTGATGATGAGTGAGTATGAAATTCATAGAGATCCTTTTAGAAAATGTTGAGATTTTCTATTAAAGTAACTTTTGTTTCTCCTTCATAAATATTTGAAACAAATAAATTGAAAGAAAGAAATACCCACAAGTATTTTACCAGGAACAAAGTACTTATCAATAAAATATCACTAATATGCATACTATAGAATATCATTGTTCTCAACAAGCTCTCTATACTGAAATGGGAGATTGTTCAAAGCAAACTGTTACTCTTCTCAAACAAGAGACAATGTCTGCAGGCTCTACCTGTCTTTATCTTGTACAACTATGAACCTGGAAACAGCACTACTAAGTGGTGTATAATATATATATATATACATATGTGTGTATACATATATATGTGTGTGTGTGTGTGTGTGTGACATGTGGTGTGTGTGTATATAGTGTGTGTGGTGTATTGTGGTACGTGAGTATATGGTGTGTGTGGTATGTGTATGGTGTGTGTGGTGTGTGTATGGTGTGTATGGTGTGTGTATATGGTGTGTGTGTGGTGTGTGGGGTATGTGTGCATATGGTGTGTGTGTGTGGCATGGTGTGTGTGTATACGGTGTGCATATGGTGTGTGTGTGTGTGTGTGTGTGTGTGTGTCACGGTGTGTTTGTATATGGTGTGGTGTATGTGGGTATGTGTGTGAGATAGATAGATAGATAGATAGATAGATAGATAGATAGATAGATAGATTATGTGTGGGTACTATGGTGTGTGTGGTGTGTGTATGTGTTGTGTGCTGTGGGATGTTCTGTATGTCAAATGTGTTGCTGATTGGTCAATAAATAAATCACTGATTGGTCAGTGGCCAGGCAGGAAGTATAGGCGGGACAAGGAGGAGAAAAAACTGGGAAGTGGAAGGCTGAGTCACAGAGACACTGCCAGCCGCCATGATGACAAACAGCATGTGAAGATGCCGGTAAGCCACGAGCCATGTGGCAAGGTATAGATTTATAGAAATGGATTAATTTAAGCTGTAAGAACAGTTAGCAAGAAGCCTGCTACGGCCATACAGTTTGTAAGCAATATAAGTCTCTGTGTTTACTTGGTTGGGTCTGAGTGGCTGTGGGACTGGCAGGTGAGAGAGATTTGTCCTGACTGTGGACCAAGCAGGAAAACTCTAGCTACAGTTGTGTGGTGTGGTGTGTGTGTGTGGTGTGTGTGTGTGTGTGTGTGTGTGTGTGTGTGTGGTGTGCATGTGTGTGGGGTGTATGTATGTGGGGGGTGTGTGTGTGTGTGTGTGTGTGTGTGTGTGTGTATGAGGTATGCAGGGGGGATGCATGTGGATGCCTGAGGTTGACAACAGCAAGTGTCTCCATCAGTTACTTTCCACCTTATGTTCTGAGTCAGGATTTCTCACAGTCCAGCACCCTTCCACATGCTGAGACACCAATTAGGCTGCTACACCCTCCTGGCTTTCTGTGGGTTCTGGGGTCTGAAACACAGTTCTCTCTCTTGCACAGCAAACACATTACTCCTTGAACTGTCTTCCCAGCACTGAAAGCCTTATTTTGATACATCTATTATAAATGTTACTATTTTCTGCAGAAAAATCCATGTACTTGAATTAAGAACATTACCTTACAGGGCTAGAGAGAGAGAGATGGCTCAGTAGTTAAGAGCACTACTTGTACTTCCAGAAGACCCAGGTTTGGTTCCCAGCGTCCACAGGGTGGCTCACAACTGTCTGTAACTCCACACCCAGGGGATTTCATGCCCTTTTCTGGCCTCTGTGGACACCAGGCACACACATGGTGGGCAAACATATATGCAGGCTAAATACCCCCACACATAACAAAATTTTAATTGATTCTTAGAAAGGACATTACTTTATGACAAAAAATGCCACCTACACTCCCAAAACATTATGCATGCATATATAGTTTAGAAATCCCAATACTTAATTAGTTTCTAAAGTGTGTATGCATACAAATGTGTTTCACACATTTAAAAATCTGCTGCAAATATCTCAGAACTCATTTCCCTTTCTGCCTGTTCTACTCCCTTTTGTGCTCAAAGGTGATTTTCTAGGACCCCGTCTTGTAATATTCTGGCATCTAATTCTCAAGGGAATTGGTTCTCAGTGTTATTTCATTCCTATGGAACCTAGAGATACATTTCATTAAGTTTTTGGACCAATACCATTGGGGACAAAAGTCTAAAAGCTTAATTAAGAACAGAGCCTTCAAAGGGGCTCTTAGAAAAAAGAAGTCTATTAATACACAAGGTCTTTTCTTCTTCATGAATTTCTCAACTTTTAATTGAATGAATGGCAGCTAAATTTATCAAAGAACAAAACAGTTCTTCCACACATAGTACTGTGAAACAAAATAATTCTTTTTTTCTTTTACTTTAGACGTCATCTCCCCACAAAATGGGCTCCTTCTCAGGGCTGAGGCTACCTTAAAATATTGTATAAATATTTAATTAGGTTCATTAATAGTTTCATAGCTAATCAACCTAGCTTTGAAGTAACATTTTGTTTTCAACAGAAAAAGTCATCATGGAACATGGCGTTTTGGTCAACACTGGATCACATAATCAGCAGTGGCTCACTGTGATTATATTGCTATGTGATGTGGTAGATATTGTTAAGTTTGTGTGAGAGCACTCTTATGGCTGGATATGATGGTGCATGCTTTTAAAACCGGCACTCAGAAGGCAGAAGCAGGCAGATCTTAGTGAGTTCCAGGCCAGTCAGGACTACATAGTGAGTCTCTGATTTTTAAAGTAATTATGAGAGAGAAAAAATGGTGTGGCGGTGGGTGGTGGAGGAGGTGTGCAGAATGTGGGAGGAGTTGGGGGCAAGGAAACCATGATCAGAATATATTGTTTAGGAAAATTATTTTCAATAAAAAGTAATAATTATAACCAAAATTATTATGTTTTTGTTTCCTATTGTTTTGAGTCGGTTTAAAACATTCATCATATCAGACAACATTTCAATTAGAAAAACAATATTAAATCTTTTTGTCCTGCAGTACTAGTTTTCAAACCCAGAGCCTGGTAATGGGTAGGCAGTGAGTTTATCACTGACCTGCGTATAACTCTAACTCCTGTGAACAAAGTTTCACTGGATTATAGCCATGCCCATTAATTGATTATCAATTAAAGACTTCAGACTGAAAGACCCTAACCCTTCAGGCTTACACCTCCCAAGTCCCAGGAAAATGAGGAACTAAAAATCTAGTTCGAAGGGCAAACTGACTCAGATTCAGCCACCCCTGCCACAATGTAACAATATAAAAAGATTTCTGTTACGAGATGCGCTCAACTGTGACTGGGATAATTGCAAGTGTTCCAGGAAAGACCACTCTAACCTTTGTGTAAACTTCACTCCCACCCTGATACCCCTCTTGAGGTTTCAGGAAGAATGAGCATTGGGACGTGACTGTACCCAGCCTGTGATCAGGCCATGATCTTATGAAATTAGCCTCTAGACAAATCAATCGAAATGAAATTGTATGGGAATTGCAATCTTGTGGCTTTTGTGGGTTTTTCCTTTAAAAGTACTATGTGGCTGCAGTAGGATGTGACTCTTGCTCTCAGGACAAGAGTGGCCCAAATGTATAGCCGCATCAATAAACCTCCTGCTGTTTGCATCAACTGGACCGGAGTCTGGG